GCTGCGTACTGTTTACACGTGTGAAAAGTGTGTTTGAAAGCGAGTCTGATTGCATATTTTGTCAAACCAACCTTCAGACCGACCCCGGACTTGCCGACCCTTGGGCCTTGATGGCCTTGCAACAGGCTCTTGCCATCCTGATTGCCATCTGATGACTGAGGTAAGTGGCAGTGGCTTTTCTTTTGTCGCCACTGCAGGCTCCATTAGGCTCGACGGGACTGCCCCATGGGGTCCTCTTGCATACCGGCAGAGTCCGTGGTGCTTCAAAACCCTAGGACAACAAGATCCAATCCTTCTGCAGCATTGTTGTTCAAAAAGAGAAAGACCATAAAATACATACATACATTGGAACAAAAGACAGGTTGAGGCAACATTAACGCGTTGCGCAAGCTGAAATTGAGCATACAGCATCCTATGCCTTCATTCAACTAGAGAGGCGAGCGCTGAAAAGTTTCATAGCCAACACCTATCTGACCGGCAACCTACAGACCGATTGAGTGACTGATTGAGCGCCCCCATGTCAAAGTAAATTGCGACACGAGGCGAGTGGACGTCCCTGGTGAAAGGCATGTGTCACATTGCATGAGAATTAAGCAGATTCAGGGTTTTGCACAATTGAAAGCTCTTCATCAACTGTGCCTTGCAGTAAAATGTCAACACTAACACCACATTGAAAAACTCTTCATCAACCCTTTCGAATGCTGACCAGTATTCGGCATTGCGAAGAGCGCCATGTTTTACTAGGTGCAATTATCTTCAATAGGACAACAACTCCTTTATATGTTCCTAACTGGTCGACAAGAAGGACCGGTGAGTGCAAGAGGGACTTCACACAGTTGATTACCAAACGACTGGTCACGATCCAGACAGTCAATGGGCAGAGATCCCTGTCCATGGCTTGGGGTACAAATCCAGAGGTTTGGAGCTATCCCGGTTGAGTTCAAAACATTGAATTTTGTAGTTTACAACTTTACATTTTGTTTCTCGAGGTTTTGGCTTTTCCAAAAAACACAAGGATAAAAGAACATGGCATGTGCAGGGGTCTGGTCCCACCTACAGCGTTGAGTTTTCTCAACGCTGAGCTTTCTATCACATGTGGCATGGTGGGACGGAGCTCTCCCGTTGATGTATTGCGATCTAATGGTACCGAAATACAGGAGAATAACCTATTAGATTTTGTCATTTTGTAGATTTTTCCTTTGACGTGAAATCCGTTTTGTAGTATGCTTTGGCCCCTTTGGTTTGGACGGGAAACCATTTCCATTGAGAAAACTACCGTGCCGAGGGCAGGGTACATTTCTCAACTACAGTGCCTTTCCTTTTTTTTGGTTTTTTAGACATCATTGCAACCTGAAACGGAGGAACTCTGGCATGGTGGGACGGAGCTCTCCCGTTGATGTATTGCGATCTAATGGTACCGAAATACAGGAAAATAACCGATTAGATTTTGTCATTTTGTAGATTTTTCCTTTGACGTGAAATCCGTTTTGTAGTATGCTTTGGCCCTTTTGCTTTGGGCAGGAAACCATTTTCCATTGAGAAAACTACCGTACCGAGGGTAGGGTACATTTCTCAACTGCAGTGCCTTTCCTTTTTTTTGGTTTTTTAGACATCATTGCAACCTGAAACGGAGGAACTCTGACAACTGTGTTTGGCTGTCTGGCATCAAACTCATTTCCTTCTTTGGGCAATGAACGCATTTGGCCATCCACGTTGTCCCTGTCCATTTTACAAATGGTGACCTCCTGTCCCCTCACCACGGGGAGTATCCCTTTTTCAACGGAGACATTCACTCCGACTGTTCCAGACATTCACTCCTGCAATCAGACTCGTTTTCAAACACACTTTTCACACATGTAAACAGTAACGCAGCACACTGGCGACATGCGCCCACTCAAAACTCAGAGATATGGTTTTCAGATACGAGTTCACTCCCAATTGGCTATGGCGACCTCAGCGCACAAACATCTCACTGTTCACATACACTGGATCACCCTGGATATCCCACACGCATCACTCTAACACTCGAGCACACACACACACTCACTACTAACTATAGCTATGGCAGCTATGGCTGCCTCTA